CCTGAGAAGGGACTGGCCCTCCCATTAACCAGGGGCATTGCCACACAGTAACATCATGGCCCATGCAACACCACACGATCAAGTTTAAATCTCCTTAAATAGAAGTAACGATTTGGAAGCCTCCAATTGACAGGGCTTTTGGCAACCTGCAATGAGATTGGTGGGGATTGAATTTCATTGACTCAGCATTCATCTAAGTGTGTTGGGACGGGTGAGAGCAGGGGCTTGCTTGCTTCATTTGACTGAAATCACCGATCAATGAAAGTTTGCAAGGTGGTCGAACCATCTCTGCGCCTCAGGTCCCATTCCATGATGCCCTGTTCAACTCACTTACTGGCTGCCTTCCACACCCGGGCTCGTTATAGAGCAATATTCCTGAGCCAGGTGTACTGGCAAGCATCCACTGGATCAAAGAATCGGAAACATGGGAAGTTACTAACATGTCCTACCTTTGAATGACACAACTTAAACTAACATGGCAAAGAGTGGTCCTTGCTAAACAAGTTCAGGACAAGCCAGGGCTCCTTCACTGCCAAATTCCATTGCTCAGGCCTCAGTACAAATCTACCCTTATGAAGACTTGAAGAGAGAGACAAACAATTTGCAAATTATCAAGTAGTGTCTTCTCTTCTCCAGATTAAGATGGACTAATTACTTACAACTCAACAAGTGAGGAGATAACAACTTGGCTCTGAGGATTTGCATTTGGGAAATAAATAAACATTTAAAACACAGAATAAAAACCAAAAGAACTGCGGATGCTGTAAATCAGGAACAAAATCAAAGTTACTGGAAAAGCTCAGCAGGTCTGGCAGCATCTGTGAAGGAGAAAACAGAGTTAACGTTTCGGGTCCAGTGACCCTTCCTCAGTTCTGAGAAAAAAGAATATTTTCCCCTCAGTTTTAGCAGTCTTTAATATTTGTGTGTGAAACTGTGGCTTGGATCTTGCATCAATCCTCCTGAGAGTGAGCAAAGCTTTTTTTCTCTAAAATTTAATCATTATTCATTCTTATTCCAAATTTGTGTTCTTTATCTCATTAAAATTGGTTTGTTTTCCTCTCATGCTCCTGTAGAACCTGCACTACACTGCCAATTTCCATCATGTCACTCCCATTGGCAAGTATTAGAATATGTCCAGCTAGAGTTGGCAACCCTCAGGTGGCTTTGCATAATCCTTGACTCCCTTACAGATGATAAATCTGTCTATTCCAGGCTTCAATATATCCAATGATCCAACCTCCATTGTTCTCTTGGGAAATGTTTTTCAGCTGTGTCTCAATTTGAGGATGACATATTCACAGTTGTGAGTTTCTGCTGTGAGTTTTCATGTGACTGAACAGACTGATTCTCAACCTGTTGATCTTTGGGAATATGAGGCAGGGCATTCCATGAGGCAATGGGATTCAGAAATGCAGGATTTGCCTCATTTTCTTTCCTTCTCTGCTATACCTCTGCCTCATCATTGAGGTGTTGAGGCACTGAAGTCATCCACAGACTGCAGGTTATGTGTGTCGGTGGTGGTCAGTTTAGTTTTGGCCACAAATTACTTAGAGTAAAGAGTTTTCCATCTCACAAACAGAGGACAGCTGATCTTTGAAGAGGTAGACTGTATGTGTTATTGAAAACAGTTAATACCTGACATCACAAGATACTCTTCACTCATCAGGTCTCAAGGACTGTTTCTGTGAGGAGCTAACAAGAGTCGCAGAAATTTTTCCATGTGTTCACTAGTGTTTGTGTGTTCTCATCCATGCTTCAATAATTGTTCAAAGTGTTAATAACATGTATGAAAGCAGGCATATGCATTTACTCTTAGGTTGAACCTGAGGTCTCACAAGAGACGTATCCAAGATATTATTTAGCCAGCTAACAAACAAGAAACTTTCACTGTTTAATAAAGACCAAACTTATCTTCTGCTGCACATGTAATTTGCATATCCTTCTCCACTTATTATCAGTATCCGACAAGTGCCAATTTGTAGGAGTGGTGGCAGCAAATCCTCCAATAAAGTGTTGGCAGTGCTGATAAGCAACATTATCAGAGAATGGGGGCTATCACACCTTATTTGACCTGGTCTGAATTTTGAAGGCATCTGTTTCGGATCTCTCACTTGAGACAGTTGTAATTTATATTATCATGAAATAGTGTAGGAACGTGATGAAGTTGCTTGGACATTGAAATATTTTCAGAACAGCCTAAAGAGATAGGAGAGGTCCTTAATGAATACTTTTCTTCGGTATTCACAACTGAGAGGGACCTAGTTGTAGAGGAGGACAGTGTGAAACAGGCTGGTAGGCTAGAGGAGGTCGATGTTAGTAAGGAAGATGTGCTAGGAATTTTGAGGAAGTTGAAGATAGATAAGTTCCCCGGGCCTGATGGGATTTATCCAAAGATTCTATGGGAAGCGAGGGAAGAGATCGCAGGGCCTTTGGCGACGATCTTTTCGTCCTCATTGTCCACGGGTATAGTGCCAGAAGATTGGAGCATGGCAAACGTCATTCCCTTGTTCAAAAAAAGGAATAGGGATAACCTTGGAAATTACAGGCCAGTTAGTCTTACGTTAGTGGTGGGCAAATTATTGGAAAGGGCTCTAAGAGATAGGATTTATGATCACTTGGAAAGGCACAGTTTGATTCGTGATAGTCAGCATGGATTTGTGAGGGGTAATTCATGCCTCACAAACCGTATTGAATTCTTTGAAGAGGTGACCAAACACGTGGATGAAGGTAGAGCAGTGGATGTGGTATACATGGATTTAAGTAAGGCGTTTGACAAGGTTCCCCATTGTAGGCTCATGCAGAATGTAAGGAGGCATGGGATAGGGGGAAATGTGGCAGATTGGATTCAGAATTGGCTGACCCTTAGAAGACAAAAGGTGGTAGTGGACGGAAAATATTCAACATGGTGCTCAGTTACGAGTGGTGTACCACAAGGATCTGTCCTGGATTCTCTTCTATTTGTGATTTTTGTAAATGATTTGGATGAAGGAGTGGAAGGATGGAATGGCAAGTTCACGGACGATACGAAGGTGGGTCGCGTTGTGGACAATGCGGAGGGCTGTTCTAGGTTACAAAGGGACATTGATAGGATGCAGAGCTGGACTGAGAAGTGGCAGATGGAGTTTAACCCTGAAAAGTGTGAGGTGATTCATTTTGGAAGGTCAAACTTGAAAGCAGAATACAGGGTTAACAGAAAGATTCTTGGCAGTGTGGAGGAGCAGAGGGATCTTGGGGTTCATGTTCACAGTTCCCTGAGACTGCCACCCAGGTGGATAGAGTTGTTAAGAAGGTGTATGGTGTGTTAGCTTTCATTAATAGAGGGATCGAGTTCAAGGGCCGTGAAGTTATGCTCCAGATATACAAATGCCTGGTTCAGCCACATCTGGAGTATTGTGTCCAGTTCTGATCGCCTCATTACAGGAAAGATGTGGAAGCATTGGAAAAGGTGCAGAGGAGATTTACCAGGACGTTGCCTGGAATGGAGGGAAGGTCTTACAAGGAAAGGTTGAGAGAGCTAGGCTTTTCTCTTTAGAATGACGAAGGATGAGAGGTGACTTGATAGAGGTGTACAAAGCGATCAGAGGTATAGAGAGAGTGGACAGCCAGAGACATTTTCCTAGGGTGGAGGTAGCTATTACGAGGGGGCATAGTTTTAAAATGAGTGGAGATAGATACAGGGGAGACGTCAGATGTAGGTTCTTTACTCAGAGAGTGGTAGGGGCGTGGAATGCATTGCCGGAGAGGGTAGTGGAGTCGGCCTCATTAGGGGCATTTAAGCGGTTATTAGATAGGCATATGGATAATAGTATAAGGTAGGGGTGGAGGTTAGATAGACCTTAGGATTAGGGTAAAAGTTTGGCACAACATCGTGGGCCGAAGGGCCTGTACTGTTCTATGTTCTAACAATTCACAGGGCCTTGCAAATGCTTGTTGGATCTTGCATTGATCCCCTTAAGAGTGAGTAAAGCTGCTAGACCCCATAACCTTTGATTCTCAGGTTAAAATGTGGTTTTTCATTGAATCCCTACATTGTGGGAACAGGCTGTTCAGCCCAATGAGTCCACACCACTCCTCCAAAGAGCACCCCACCCAGACCCAGTACTCCTGCATTTCCCTTGTCTAACCCAAACATCCCTGGGCACTTTGGGCAATTTAGCATAGCCAATCCACCTACCCTGCACATCTTTGGACTGTGGGAGGAAACCAGAGCACCTGGAAAGACACGGGGAGAATGTACAAACTCCACACAGAGTCACCCGAGGGTGGAATTGAACCTGGGTCCCTGGTGCTGTGAGGAAGCAGTGCTAACCACTGAGCCACCATGCCAGTTGAATCAAGCTTTAATGTAGTCAATGATCCAGTACTCTCCAGGGAAGAGAATTCCAAAGATTAACAACCTTCTGGAAAAAAACCCTCCTTTTCTCTGTCTCAAATGACAGATGCCTTATTTTGAAACTATGCTCCACTGTTCTCAATTTCGCCTGCTAATGGAACATATCTGGTCTACTGTACTTAAGTAAATTTGTATAATCAGAATTATGAATCCTAAAGGTGTTCTTTACCCAGACTATGGAACTCACTGCCACTTGACTTACTTGAGGTGCATACAGATTCACCTGTATTAGTTATCTCTCTACAGTTGGATAAAAGAGGGATGGTCCCAGAAATGTAAAATTATACCTGCTGGGAAGGGCTGTGGCTAATACATTGAAGGACAAACTTGAAGGGTATATGAGAAGCAGGGAAACCCAGAATATTAAAAACCGAAAGTAGTGTGGATGCTGTAAATTAGGAGCTAAAGACAGAAGTTGCTGATAAAGCTCCGCGGGTCTGGCTGCGAAGAAAAAATTAGAGTTAACGTTTCGAAAGTTTCAGAACTGAGGAAGGATCACCAGACCCGAAATGTTCACTCTGATTTTCTTCTTGACAGATCCTGCCAAAACCGCTAAGCTTTTCCAGCAACTTCTGTTTTGAACCCAAAATATTATTGCTGGGGTGAGATGAGAAGGGTAGGAACTGGGTCAGGTGGATGGGCTGAATGGTCACCTCAGCCTCGTGTCCAGGAGCAGCAGGGACTGAGCGGGTTAACGTCTGCGCGGTGGCCCCGGCACGCATGCGCAGTGGCAGGACCCCGGCAGTCGGGGAGTGAAGGCGGTGTGTGGGCGCCATCTTGGAGCTGTATTCTGTCAGCAGGAGGCCGGACTGAGTGGGCTGCTATGGACGATGACAGCGAGACTTGTGTGCCTGCTGCTGAGGGTGACCTCCGCAGGATCACCGAGCTCAGGGTGGTAGATTTGAAGACGGAGTTGAGGAAGCGAAACCTCGACATTAACGGCAACAAAAGCGTCCTGATGGAGCGGCTGCGGCAGGTGAAGGGGGACGGGGGGGAAACTTGGCGCTGGCCCGGGTCGACAGTTAGTGTTTGTGGGGGTGGTAGGGGTTGTGTGGTGGGGCACAAACAAGAGGCTGGAAGGACACAGCAGGCCAGCTAGCACCTGGAGGAAAGGAGCAGTGAACATTTCAGGTATTACCCTTCTTCAGGACTGGATGTGGGGGTGGGGGGAGGTGTAGTACGGGGAGGGATGGAGGAGGCATGATGGTGATAGGTGGACGCTGGTGGTAGTTACAACCTGGTTGGTCGATGGGAAAGATGAATCCGATTGGCTGGAAGGGAGGGTCAGAAGGAAGGAGGAGGGGCTGGAAGGAGAGGCGAGGGATGGGTGGGAGGAGTATTTGAAATTAGAGAACTCAATGTTAGTCCTTCAGGCTGGCGGGTGCCCAGGTGGAAGGTAAGGTGCTGTTCCTCAAATCTGTGTTGCGAGTCACTGTGTTGCTGGAGGAGGCCGAGGACAGACCTGTCTGAGGGGGAGGGGGTCTGAGATGAAATGAGCGGTCGGTCGCTGGGGAGGTTGGACTGGCTGTTTCGGGCCAGGCAGAGATGCTCGGCAAAATGGTCACCTAGCCTATGTTTGGTCTCACTGATGTAGGGACGACCACACTGGGAGCACCGCATGCAGTAGGTGAGGTTGGAGGAGATGCAGGTGAAGCTCTGTCTCACCTGGAAGGATTGTTTAGGGTCCTGAATGTAGGTGTGGGAGGTGGTGTGTGGGCAGGTGTTGTGTCTTTTACAGTTACAGGGGAAGGTACTGGTGTTGGGGGGGTGTAGTTGGAGTGTTTGGCGGGAAGTGTGGTGCAAACTAAGGAGTGGCGAAGGGAATGGTTCTTGCAGAAGGCAGAGAGGGGTGGGGAGTGGAGTGGAAGATGTTCTGGGTGGTGGGATCTAGTTGCATATGGCAGAAGTATTTGAGGATGATACATTGGATGCAGAGGCTAGTGGGTTGGAAAGTGAGGACAAGGGGGAACTCTCTCTTATTATGTTTGGGAGATGGTTTAGAGCTGTGGAGTGGGGAATGGAGAAGGCACGCTGGAGGGCTGTCTGGGTGACCGGGGAGGGACGTTGTTTGAAATAGGAGGTCATTTGGGAGCGTCAGAGCAGATGCAATGGAGATGGAGGAATTGGGAAAACAGGATGGAGTTTTTGCAGGATACAGGGTAGGAGGAGGTGTAGTCCAGGTGACAGTGTAAACTGCCATCAGAAATCGAAACGGGGAGGGAGGTATCTGAGATAGACTCAGGTGAATTTGAAGGTGGGGTGGATGTTGTTAGTGAAGTTGATGAACTGCTCGAGTTTGGCCTGTGTGCAGAATGCAGCACTGATGCAGTCATCGATGTAACAGTGGAAGAGTTAGGGAACAGTATCGGTGTATGTACTGAAGAGGGACAATCCTTGCAGAAAGCAGAGAGGGATGGGGACTTGCGCCACAATCCCCACCAACCACGCTGACCCCTCCCCCAGTACCTTCCCCTGTAACCGTAAAAGATGCAACACCTGCCCACATACCACCCCCCTCACGTCCTTCCAGGTGAGACAGAGTTTCACCTGCATCTCCTCCAACCTTGTGTTCTGCGTCCGGTGTGCCCGATGTGGTCCTCTCGACATTGGTGAGACCAAATGTAGACTAGGCGATTGTTTTGTCGAGCATCTTTGCCTGGCCTGAAACGGCCAGCCCAACCTCCTGCTCACCTCCCATTTCAGCCCTCGCCCTGTCCAACATGTCAATCCTCGGCCTCCTCCAGGGTCACAGTGAATCAGATTGCAAATTTGAGGAACAACACCTTATCTTCCATCTGGGCATCCTACAGCCCTGAGGACTTAACATTAAGTTCTCTAATTTCAAATAACCTTCCCACCCAACCCCCTGCTCCCTTTCCAGCCCTGCCTCCTCCCTTCCATTCCATCTACCAAGCACATTCATCCCTCCTATCGACCAACGAGGTCGTACCTGCGATCGGTGTCCACCTATCACCACCATTCTGCTACCCTCGCCCTCCCCTTTATCTCCACCTCCCCCTACCCCCATATCCAGTCCTGAGAAGAGTAATACCTGAAATGTTGACTTCTCCTTTCCTCTAGATGCTGCCTGTCTTGCTGTGTTCTTCCAGCCTCCTTTTTGTCTTCCTTGTATTCCAGCATCTGAAGTTTTTTCTGTCTCCAACCAAGTGGGATGGAGGAGTTGGGAAATGTAGAAGTGAGTCTGTTGAGAGGAGGTGGTGAGTATTGGTTGTAGGGGAAGCAATCAAAGGATGAGGCAGTGGGATGGAGGTGGGTGGAGAAGGAGAAAGGAGTTGGGAGTGCAATCAGTTCTTGGGGTAGTGGATGGGTGATGGGAATTCCCATAGGAGGATGAGAAGGCCGAAAGTTGGAGAGTGGAACTGGGAGAGAAATGGGCTAAGGTAGCCTGGAGTTAGGGTAGAACAGAAGGAAGGTTGAGGTTGGCTTTAGAATTTCATTGGAAACATTCAGTTGCAGGAGTCTGTGGGACTCTGCAGAATACATAGTTTGGAAAATCTGAAAATAGATTCGTAGAGTTATACAGCATGGAAACAGACCCTTCGGTCAACTCGTCTGTGCTAGCCAAATATCTAAACCGATCTAGTCCCATTTGGCCTGTATCCCTCTAATCCCATCCTTTTCATGTACACATCCAGATGCCTTTTAAATGTAATAATACATTGCCCTCACCACTTCTGGCTGCTCCTTCCATACACACACCACCCTCTGCATGAAAATGTTGCCCTTCAGGTTCGACCCTGGAAAAAAGACCTTGGCTGTTCACCCTTTCCAATGCCCCTTGTGACCTTATAAACTTCTTTAAGGTCACCTCTCAGCCTCTGATGCTCCAGGTAAGGAAGCCCCAGCCTATTCAACCTCTCCCTATGGCTCCAACCCTCCAATCTCAGCGACATCTTCGAGATATTCCAATACCCTACCTGTGTGCTCAGTTTGGTGTTTAAGAAAAAAATACAAATACTTCTGCAGTCAGCCTGCCACAAGCAAATTTCAGATCAACATTTTTGAAGCATCACTTTTCAGTGATCAACATTTCACCCAATCATTTAGTGCTGTTTTGTACACTAAACTCAAATTCAATAATTTTATATATAATTTAGGTGCATCGAAAAATTCAAATACTACAGAGCGTAGGCCTGTTGAGCAACAAATAGAATTGAGGTGTTTGTTCAATGGGACGTTTTTCTGAATACTTTAAAATATTCATTATTAAAATGTTAGTGAATTGTCAAGTCCTATCGTTTTTAAACAAAATAATAAATAATTTCAACATGACATTCTTTTGGTGACAAATTACTTGATGAAGAGGAAAAGCTGAGCTTGACCTTTCAAAGGAATAAATCACTTTATGTTAGTTTTGGCTTCAATGTATATCAACAGTGAAAATTGTATTTCACTCACACCTTGTAGCACTTCCAAGAGAATTTAGAAGCAGTAACCAATAACTTAAGGATTTTAACAAGGCTTATAAAGATTGGAGCACCAAGAGAGAAAGTTGTTTTGAGAGAATGGAACTGGATTCTGCACTATTAGTACTGGTAGACTTGAGGGGCATCTACTAAAGGTGGAATTGGGAAGGGTGAATACTGAAATGTGTAAAACAAAAAGAAAATGTTGAGGTAGGTGGAAAGTCCTTTTGGGGAAGGGGTATAAACATAAGGAAAAGAGTAGGAATAGGCCTTTTGAGAAACAAAAACAGAGATTACTGGAAAAGCTCAGGAGGTCTGGCAACATCTGTGGAGAGAAATCAGAGTTAATGTTTCAGGTTCAGTGACGGAAACCTTAACTCTCATTTTTCACCTCTGATGCTGCCAGATCTGCTGAGCTTTTCTGTTTTTGTTCCTGGTTTCCAGCATCTACATTTCTTTAGGTTTTTATAGGCCTTTTGAACCTGCTTTGTCATTCTGTCAAATCTTTGCTGATCTGATTGTGGCCTTAACTCCACCGTTCTGCCTTCCCCATACCACTTGATTCCCTTGTAAGTTTAAAGAGGAGGAGGATTTTAAATGAAATGAGTTTGGTGAGAATCCAGCCAATAAAGTGCAATGAGCACAGAATGCGTACGTGTGTGTGTGTGTGTATACCTAGTGGGTATGGAATACACTGGAAATATGGTGGAGGCAGGTTCAATTAAGGCATTTAGGAAGACATTGGGGGAGTATTTGAATAGAAATAGTGTGTAAGGGTATTGGGAAAAGCAGGTGATTGGCACGAGTTGATGATACTCATTGAAGAGCTGATACAGGCATGATGGGCCTAAAGGCTACCTGCACCGTAAAAACACAGGAATTAGTAGGGCAGTAGGCAATACAGTCCTTTGAGCCTGCTCTGCCATTTAACATGATCATGGCTGATCTTATCCTGGTCTTAACTCCACCCTCCTGCCTGCTCCCATAGCCCTTTATCATCAGAAACTTATTCTTTCTTGAATCTGTTGACTGCTTCTGCCTCCACTGCACTCTGAGGCAGTGAGTTCCATGGATTCACAACCCTCTGAGAGAAGTAGTTTCTTCTCATGCCAGTCTTGAACCTACTTTCTCTCACTCTATATCTACAACCTCTTGTTCAAGACTGTCTCACAAGGGTGAACATCTGTTTAACATCCACTTTATTAATCCCCCTTAGCATTTTATGTACCTCATACAGATCCCTCCCTCATTCTTCTGAACTCCAGCAAATATAAGCCCAAGCTATTCAACTGCTTCTCATCTGACAGGCCCTTCATCCCATGGAATCAATCTGGTGAATCTCCTCTGAACTGCCTCCAGCGCAGCCGCATCTTTCTTCAAGTAAGGAGACCAAACCTGGACACTATACTCCAGGTGTAGTCTCGCCAATGCTTTATTTAATTGTAGCAACACTACGTTTATAATCAATCCCTTCTGCAATAATTGCCAGGATTTCATTTGCTTTCCTTTTTATAGGCTGCACTTGCATACCCACTTTCTGTAATTCATGCACAAGGGCGCCTAGATCCCTCTGCCTTGAGAAACTTTGAATCTACTTCCCATTTAAATAATAAGTTGCTCTTTTGTTTTTCTGGTCAAAATGGACAACCTTGCACTTATCCACATTAAAGTCCACCTGACAGATTCTGGTCCATTTTCCTAACTGATCAGTATCCATGAGGAGATAAACTCTTCGTAAAACTGTGCTGACACTGGTGAATTCAGAGATAACAAGGTGTAGAGCTGGATGAACACAGCAGGCCAAGCAGCATCAGAGGAGCAGGAAGGCTG